TGGCCTCGGTACATCACCATGCGACCGCATGGATATTTGCCCATGCGGTCGCATGGGCCAAATTTTGGCCCTGTTCAGATTTTAATTCCGTTTTCATTTCGATTTCAATTTCGTTTTCATCCTATACACCGTTTTATTGATTGTGAACAATATTTTCCATCAATCCCCCACTTGTTCAAAATTCAATAAACTCTCATATTCAAAGTAAACAATACTCATGCATAAGGATTAGATATCTTTCGATTTGAATCTAACCATAGTGTAATTCAAACAAAGTAAAGTCGAAATCAAAGGTAGCGTGAAACTTTGAACCATTTGTTCCATGTGACAATACCGGTAAGAATACACACACGAGCATTACGTGTTCTCAAATTCCTCAACTCGCTTAGCACTAATATGGCCTTGCACTCATCCTATTCAACAAACTTTTAAGAGAGAAACTCCAACTCTCTATTGAGGCGGCACCACCTCGAAGTTTGTTTAGGTAAAGTTCTTCCAGTACCTTTGTTACTTTTAGAGGTACTTGTGTTTTAGTACTAAACTTCATTAAGAGCTTCAATGCTCAACCCTCATTTCAGTAACAACCAGCATTATTTTACTTAGGATAGGGTTATTGCGGATTTTAATAATGCCGAAACCATCCCACATAGCGAATGACTTGTTTGTTACCCTTTGAACCCATGGATTACCCTTTTGAGTAAGCAATGGGTAGGATTGCCGTCATTGGTGGACCTTTATAGTTTAGGAGTTTCAACCCCATCTTACTCGAAATATAAGCCACTAAAGTTTTATTTAGTGGTCTAGTTAAAGGATTCGCTAAATTCTCTTCGAAAATTATTCCACCTTTGATAATTTCCTTGTGACGTCACTTTTAAGACTTATATGTTTTTACTTTTCATTTCATGTGACTTAATATCTTATCAAAGTATAGCTAGCCAACGATCGATTCATTTAATAGATACAATTTGTCACCACCAAGAAATCTTTTTGTGAAGCCATATGCTTCTCACTTGCTTTATTTAAAGCTTTATTTATATCCAAACATGATTTGAACATTTTTTTTCAAATCATTACACTTCTCAATCAATTTTATTGTGGATCTCATACTTGGGTATTCATATTTCATTATTGAAATATTACAGTGATCTTTAACTTATGAATACTCTTAAATATTCACATTTGTTTTGAAAGCGCCGTGATTGGCTTTCACCCAAATTATCCACTTAAATTTAATGATAATGTATCTCATCCTTATAATTATAATCATAAGGACTTTTCTACCTTTTCTTCCTTCATAGATATCTTTCTATGATTAATATGTAAATGATATGGTAACTTTTAAATTAAGTTACCCCCACAATTCCTCACTTAGGAATTTATATGCAATCATGTAATATTGCATTCATAAATATTGAACTTCTCATATAGGAACACAAGCATTTAAAGTTAATCTCCACATTTCGAGTTATACTCGAACTTAGAGTTCCTCACTATGTCAACCCCCACATTTGGGATTGTCATCTATGGAAGTTTAAGTATTTTTTTTTTAGATAGTGGTCGTTAAGTCACAACTTACTTCAACTCGACCATCTTAATTGTGATCACACAATTTTACCAAGGTTATCTCATAGACCAACAATGCTTTTCCAAGTTTAAACCAAATCAATTGGTTCCATAATTGAAGTCACATTCAATGAATAAAGAAGAATAATTTTTTCTTAATTCACAAGAATTGCAACTTCTGCAATCTTTTTACAACTTATCACTTTCACAAGATAGCATTATGTCATATTGGATAATAAGATACATGTTTACCTTATTCACATTTGGACAAAATCACATTTTGTCATATTCTTATGCAAATGTAATCTTACATAAGATCATTTTTACTACCATTTTCAAAGATATCAAGCATCACCGCCAACTATAGACATAATTTTGTGTTCTATAAAATGATTCCATGTCTCAGTAATTGCGCAAACAATTTCTAATAGAACATAACACAATTTGTCATAATTCAAGCAAATGCACTTGTACTTTAATCAAATTCTCAATAATTTGATCATACAAATTTGACCAATGTCAACACATAGACCAAAGAATGTATGCAACTTATCAAACTAGTGACACTTCACAAGATAGTAACATTTGTTTCCAATGTGTGTCATTTTATTTTAAACAATAAGGCACCTATTCAAAAAGAATAGCAATATTCCTTTAATGAAAGTTCATGTACTTTCAACAAAATGATCGCATCCTTTCAAACATTTAGACATTTCACATACAATTTTAGAATATTTGTAGTTATGGAAACTTCAAAATGAAAAGACACAATCTTTCAATTTCAATGAAATGCTACTGACGGTTATACAAAGAAAATTCCACAAACCAGTATACATGTTTAATGTTACAAAGTTCTAAACTATTTAAATTTCAAAGGATGAACTTTTCAACCGTTTAAACCAATAATGTAATATGCACATTTTTATCATGTAAATACCTTT